AAAACTGTCATTTTTCATAAGACAATTTAGTGGGCTTATTATCTCACTAAAATTTACTAATATGTCAAATTTCATCAAATTGTGAAAGGTAAATCTTTAACCGAGGGTACTACCTTGAGGATCTCTAATTTTTTGGAAAATAAACTGAAGCCCATTTTACTCGCTGATAATATGACTTTCTATAGAAAGTCATATTATCAATATATTGAGAAAAAATCAATAATTTACATTTTCCTAATTATTAGAGATACGAGGGAGTATTGATCAATTTAAAATTTTTAATTATTAAACTAACACGAAACAGTCAATTAGCTTATTATTTTTGAATTATACATTAGCATGAACGCCTATCAAACCTGATTATAAGTTTAATAGCCCTCGAGATAAGTACGTAATAACCTTGTTTTGGGTTTAAATTATCGTCTATTGCTTCCAACAAAACCGCTTTTGGAATCGTTCCCAAACGATAATGGTGGGTACAAAAGCTAGACGTCAAGTAATCGCATGTGAATTATATTACCATTTTAAAAAAGATAAAGAAGTCTAGTTCTCGACAAAAAATAGCTATTTTTTCGATAGTAATTCATTAAGATAAGAATTTACTATGAAAGTATTTAAAATAACCAAATACATTGTATCTTTTTAATTTTTACTCCCTTAGATATTTACTTCCCCTTTTATTTTTTGATGCCGAACTTTTTTTTCTTCCATCCGAACAGAAGAGCGCAAAAGTAAAAGATACGTAACATTCCATATTAAATTCACAAAGAAATGATGTGTTTAGAATTTTTTGTAATGCGTGATTCGAATATTTCATACTTTACAAAGAGATCTACGGGTGCAATAAAGTAATATATTTTGAATACATCTATTCCCTTTATCCGTCTATACATTTGAGAATCATGTATAGTACATAGACAGCTATTCTACTCTATAAATCTTGTTGCATGAAAAGACACTAATCGTTGAATTCAACCGACTGTGAAGACTGTGATAGCGCGAAAGAACTCATATTTTTTTTTTTTCTCGTTAACGGGCGTGCTAAAATTATTACGGCTTCCAATTCTCAAATGGCCCGTGATAACTGATTTGTTAGGGATTTTTAAAGAAAAATCTCGACAATACTTGGTGATATTTAATAAAAAAAAATAAAACCTTGTAGAGAAATTTTCTGTTAATGGAATAAAACGTGATAAACTGTCAAAACGTCGGGTAAACATTTTTACTATCATCATGATGTCATATCAGCGAAACAGCATCTTTTGCTTTTGGTATGCATGTCATTGAATAATATTTTATGTACTGGATGATTTAAAGTGCTTTTACTGTCAATTCTTATGACACTTCTATCAATAAGTATTTGTGATACATTTTTCGAGATCGGAAATTCATTACGAACAGTTCGATGGTTGATTTTATTAAAAAGATATAAAAAATTTATGATATATCAATTGACATTCGAAATTTTGATATAAAAATCAAAGTATTCTATGAAGCGTTCGAATAATGTTTTATCAATGCGTCGTGACGACATTACCTTATTTGTGAATGGTTGTAAAGGACAAAACAATTTTTGGTTGATGCATATTAATGGACAGATTACAATTTGATTAAAAAAATTTATTTAAAATGCAATTTAATATATATATTGTGAATGATAGTAAGCTAAAAACATTTAATTAAATTTTTAAATCTTCAATTATAGTCAAGCTATTCAAACCTTAAAAGTTTGGTGCAAAAACGGTGAATTAATTTCTTAGTAATATTATCGTTACCGTTTGATGGATGATAATAAATTCCGATACGAAGATTACCATTTAAATGGGTTGTAACATCTGTGTTATGGAACGAGTGAAAAGAAAAAAAGTAAGATTGATAGGTATTAATAACCAATCGGAAACAAATCGCAGATTTCCCTTTTCAGAAATTTTTTCATGTACTTTTCTTTGCACAATACTGTCAGAAACGATTGTGATAATTTCGTTCGTGTTTTGAAATATAAAACCCATAAGACAAATCAATCATTGCTTTCGATACCTGAATGAAGAGTAATTCTAATTATTTTATTAGTACCTAAGAATTAAAATTGGATATTTTATTCAGATTTTCATAATCACGACTACATATACGGTAATTTATTTTTGATCATAAATCATATATTATCTCATAAAAAAATAATCTAATACGGCCTGATATGGTCATACATGGCCATTTCAGGCTACATATAAATAAAACGTTGTTTATTACAATTTCTTATTTTTTCTGAGATTGTATACGTCAATTAGCATATCGTATTAATCAAAATAAATTGATTAAGCTGATTATAAATGCTAAATAAGCGCCTTAGGATAAAAAAAACGATTATTATTTTAGAACTTAACAACTCTGGCTCAACTCTCTTATAACGAGACCATTTCAGGCCTGATGTGGAAATAACTCGTATCAGGACATATCAAGCTATATCAAATTTCATATGACCAATTTTCATACTAGGCAATTCAATATGATCATGGTATATAATGCAGCCCTTAATTTATTACTAAAATTACCATTTTTTAACTAAAAGTTGTGAAAAATATTTATTTATTTTATAGTAACGTAGATAAAATTTATAGAAATTTACAATGTCAATTTGATCATATCAAGATAAATAATCAAAAATTACACATTGATATACCAGACCATATCAGGCTATATATGGACATATGAGGTCTTATTAGAAAATTTTTTCACGGGATAAGAAATAATGATAAACAACTAGTAGTTCGAAGAAGACAATCAAAATAATTTCTTCTGTCAACAAGGGTGACTCATCAAAATGAAACCACAGAGCATAACGAATCCTTTTATTGAGAATTTGCTGTGCCAGCAGTGGCCACATTCATTACAATGTTTCCTCCGTGTCCTCTATTGACAATTAGTCCACTCTACGTTTTGCGTGCTAACGCTCAATCCAACCACGAAATTACCGGGTAGTCATTGATCTACAAACATTGAACCAAAGCATCAGTGAACTCAACTTAACATCACAATGATCGCTATTATTTCCAGAATGACCAGTTCAAAGAACGATCGACCTTTTTGCAATCTCTTCATGCAATTTAATAATTAAAAAGTAATTACAACCTAAAGCTGGTAGAGTGAAGGGCAGTTATTGTCAAATCTATCAAATTCAAATAAAAAAAACTGAACCCTCGTGAAACAAAGGGATCGAATTTTGTCAGAGGCTTGGCCAAAACTCGCTCATAAACGGCTATTACGTATTCCCGATAAAACGTCTAGCCCACCTGACACTTTAAAACTTTTCCATTTCCTGGCGATATTTCTGCTGTATGCCACGAGCTTTTAGTTAGACAAGAAAATTCTTAGCGTGCTTTTGTACCATACGTCGCGTTCGTGTATTGGTTATATTGGAAATATCACGCTCTACTTACAGTACAATCGGAGGGGAAAAAACAAGAAGTCTTTTTTCGATTTTACAGCTTTTGAAAATTAAACCGACCTTTTGTGTCACATATGTGTTTTTTTTTTATCATTAATGAAAGCACATTTTGTTATAACTGTAAAAATTTTATTATGCTCTATAAATTTCTTCGCGCATCTTTGATGCGCCTTTCCAAAGTTTGAGTGCTCTTTTATTATCAGTTTCATAATAATAAATTTATCTAAAGTGAAACGAAAAATCATTAGCTAAGCAGACACTGTACATTAAGAACGGTGGAGAATATAGTCACTCAAACTTCTCCAGAAAATGAATTAAGTGGTTTAATTAACATGAAATTCAAGCACTCCGTAATATGATATTATATCGGCAAAGAATTATGATAGTCATCAAACACTAACGAAAAATTACTGAAATTTTTCACGTCGAGCCTATTTATAATCTAAAAGTCAATTTAAATTATGCACCATTGACATATTAAGAAATGTTGTATTAATCGAAACCGGTAAAAATTTTTTTAATGTGGTTATGTGTGAGTTTTATTTTAGAAATTAACATCTTAAATTTAACTCTCTCGGTGGAAGACAATTTAGGGATCATGCGAAATCAGTCGGAAATTTTAAGCACTACCTTTGGTCGAAAAATTATATATGACCATATCAAGCCATAGTATAAAATTTTTTTCTCAGTAATTCTTTTTATTTTATAAAATTACAATTTTATCAAAAAAAAAAAAAAATTATCTACCATTTCGTAGCGAATCTTCCGGTATTGAATCTTCTTCATGAATGTTTTTTTTATCTTTCGTTAGTCTTATAACGTTCACTATGTAAAATCCGTAAAAGTTCTGTTATTTTATTTTAGTACGTTCAATATATTAATAATAAAAGAAAAAAAAAAATTTTCTTCTTTTACAGAAAATTCAATCTTTTCTTAACAGCCGGTTCCTACGATTGCAGCTTTGTATTTCTTTCCTAGAAAAAAAGAAAGCTGAAAAAAACACTCTGCTACGTAATAGATTTTTTTATTATCTATTTCGGAACAGAGCGCTTTTTTTTCAAAATTCTTATTTGTTTAAAAGAAAAACATAAAACTGCAATAGCTTTATAGTTATGAGTGCAACAAGGATAGAAAAAGAGGGAACCGGCTGTTAAATTGCTTTTATCTTCTTTACTTTCTGCATATTTTCCGAGACATTTTCAAAAAACTGCTATTTCATCAAAAAGTTCAGAAGCATAATATTCTTTTTATTTTTCTTTAAAATACAATTTCTTCATTTTCTTTTCTTACAAAAAAAAAAAAAAAAAAAACTTTCCAGCAATCCTGAAAATGTAATTCTCAACTGACTATTTTTCTCAAACAGCATTTTTTATAATAACTATAACCGAATAAAAGCTTACAATTACAGAATATAATTCAATGATTTTTCTTATAACCGACGAAAGTAGTAAAAATTAAAATTTAACATCAACAACGTGCATAATTATTATATAGCTTGTTACGCATATCGACATTGAGTTCCCCTCAATTTAGAGCGTCTGTTGCCGTAGGCCGGTGCTTACTCGATGTTCACATTAGAGCACTCGCAATTTGGACCACCCCTGTATTCATCGGATAGACGTGACGTGTTCAAAGTCCCATCAAATCCAAGTGCGACATTGGCAGGGGTTCGTATCGGAGCTTGCATATTACACAGCAAAACTTAATTCTACAACTAATTTTATCTTTAACCTCACGCATATACATATATATCCGTATATATTTTCTGTAATAACCAACACCAGGTATTGACTTTCCACATTTGCTGTCAAAATTAAAAACATTATTTATATAGAAAATAGCCGAAGTCTTTACCGAGACACTGTTAATGGAATAATAACAATTATTCGATCTCAAAAGTTATTATAACGCAGGTGTTAAGTACATCTTAATAACGTTAGTTCCTGTCTGGAAGGTTTATAACACTCAGCATCGAATTACGGGAGTTTCTCCCTCGTTCTATGATGTACCTTCATTTTATGTCAACTCATCTTTCCCTATCCAAAATACGCCGTTTTTATTACTCTAATGGTTACCCTTTCTTCCCTTTCCTTCTCTCTATCTCTTAAGTCTCTCCCTTTTTCATTTTCGTTTTATTTAAACCCTATCCCATATTTTTATTATAAATTCATTTATTTACCTATGAGTCGGATTACACTTTATGTTTAAGTACCTCATATCAGAGCAATTTGTTTGCCTAAACCATATTATCCATGTAGGTAATAAAATGTGATTCATATTTTTATACTACAAGAGATATGAGGTTTAAAGCAGTAAGCCGTCAGCTTTTACGACATACTTAAATGTTTTAGTATGATTATTTATAAATCTTCGGAAATATACTGATTATTTTGGGAGATGATAGGACAGACAAGACAACCCTTTTAAATACTGATAATATTTGGAAAAAAATGGTTTGTTTGTTATTAAACTTGTGAAAATGATAAAAATAAAAGAGTTCTACCATCAATGTTCATAAAAAACAAAATTTAATTGAGAGATTCAGTGTTTGAATCCTGATTTGAAATGTCCTCGTCTATCTATATATCTATCTATATATATAAAAATAAATTGCTGTGTGTTAGTCTCGCTAAAACTCAAAAGGACTGGGCCGATTCCAAAAATTTCCTTTTTGTTTTGTTCGCTATAGTTCAAGGATGTTTTCAAAAGAATAAAATTTTTGGAAAACTCATAAGTTCAGCTAAGGAAATCAACAGATCTAAAATTGTTAATCGTCTATCTTCTGTATATGGGTGATTCTCTGTAAGGATGTTTTTTGCTGTCCCAGGCATTTTTTTATTAGAAAAATTGTTATTTTGTTACTAAAAAAAATTTATTACGAAAGTAAAAGAACATTTCTATTTGGAGCATTGAAAACTAAAATGGAATAAATTTTGGTTTTTTTGCTATAAATTCGTAAACCACCGAAATAACAGTCCCCTGGGCTGTCCCATTCCCAAAATTGAAACTTTAAGATTAAATTTTAAGTTATTCGTCCATAATATATCATTTTCTCCATAATGTTTATAAACTTAATTAGTTAACTAACAATCTTCTTCAATAAAAAGTACCGAAAGTTAATTTGTTTCATTAAATTCATTAAACCAAAGTTTGTCCCAAGCATTTTAAGATCAGTCCCCTGGCAGAAGTTCAAAGCCAAAAAAAAAAATCTAGCGTGTTATTTTACCTTTTGTAAGGTTTAAAAGGACCTAACTAGCCTTAAGTTAATAACCATAGGGCTGTTAGCGCTATATCGCTATTTTATTTAGTGTTAAAGCAACGTTTGTGCTGGAAATATGTGTCTGGGCCACTTCAAAACTCAGTCCCCTGGCAGCTATTTTTGTTTATAATTTATTTATAAAATTGGATCCATAAGTCTTAATATTATTCTAATTAATGTAAACATTCATTGAGAACTTAAAAAGTCGAATGCATTGAAATAGTTTGCTTGATTTTTCTCAATTTGATAAAAAAATTCAGTCCCCTGGCAGTCAGTCCCCTGTCATGTTATATGGCAAAAGATACACAAATATCGAAAAAGCAAAAATTAATTTGGCTGTTTATTTATTATAATTAAGCTGATAGTTTTGTAGCCCTTGATAATTTTTTTTCTAATAAAATCAAAAATAATTTGGTCGGACAATTTTGTACAGATTTAAGACGTCCTTACAGAGAATCATCCATATATAGACAAAAAAAAAATTTCATAAATTCAGTGTTGATTTTTTGGGATCTTGATTTTCAGACGATAATAAGAAGCGAGTTTCATTTAATAACGACAAAATTCTAACCGCACTTCATACAGCCAGTATTTATTCTTTATCGAAGTAGATTAGATTTTAGAGATTAACAATCGCTGATCGAAAGGTGTAACAAAATATATTGTAGGTAACACGAAGTTTACCGGGTCAGCTAGTTTTTAATAAAACAGAGATATATTGTTGAAAAAGTGTCGATTTTTGAAACGCAGACACCGACGAAAAATAAGGCTTTACTATAAAATATTTGTGGTAATAGAAAAAATATATAATTAATTCAACAAGTTTTTATGGTAATAATCATTATTTAAATACATATTCTTTCAAATGTAAATAAATAATGATAACTTTAACCATAAACAAAAATTAATTAAACATTTATTATTTAAAAAAAAAATAAATAATTAGGTCTCATTTTACTGTAGTAGTTTAATTATCCTACTACAAAGAATGATAAGTCTTATTCTCTAACTTTATCCAATATCATAATCTTTCCAGTAATCTATTAACCAACAGTTTTCGCAACTACATGCACTGCAGCATAGTATAATCCATGAACGTCTACCTTGCTGTTGATATATTCATAAAATAACACGTCTTGTCTTCTTGACTTCCGCGCTCTTAATCAGTCATCTGTCTTCTTCATATCAACAGTAATGAACATCAACTACTTAAGTTAATAGGATTTAAAAAAAGATCGCTTCAAATTACTTATCCGACTTATCCCTCATTATGGTTTTTATAGAATACATAATTTTCATATCAATCACGTACATCAAGTTTAGACGTTAAAATAATTCAAGGATATCATTTTTCTAACATTAAATATTCTATAACCCGTTGTCAAAGACACGGTACTGCCTCGAGTCAAATTTATGTTAACACTGCGATTGGGAACTGACCAATTCAGTCACAACGTCTGATGGTTGAATTTTCAACTAGTAATAGTTTACAAATCTATTTTATTTGCATAAATATTTGTAATCAGTAATACTCTTTCTTATGTGGACATACATAACGATATATGGTATTTTCTACTATTTTTTTCTAAGCCGTTTTTACTTATCAGTTCCCAATATAAATCTCTTCTAAGAATATTTTCTAAAAGAGTATCGATAGTTGGTTAAATATTTATTCCAAGGAAAACAATGCTTACCTATAACAGTGAGTGAATCAACATCCCGCACAGAAAGACTGGAAGAAGCTTGAGAACCACTGGATTCAGTACTTTGTGTGCATCTCAGCCTCCTTCTAAGTTTTGGCATATCAAATGGAAGATCCCTAAGGTCAACACTAGTGGCGCTGCCAGATGTCGTCGCATCTTGTTGCATAAGAAGCCGCCGCCTGCGAAGTTTCGGCATGTCAAATGGCAAATCCGATAAGTCCGGTTCATTATCAACCAAATTAATATTGTCCATTTGTGATTTGATGACATGAAATCCAAAGGGCTTGCATTTTATCCCCGCCCGAGACTCTATCGATATTCCGCTATCCGATCCTTGAATTTCAGCGTCACCAGAAGACGACGATTGCATCGCTAAATTTATCAAATTCTTATTCTGCGGAGCACGTCGTTTTTTGAATGACGTATCTGTTGGAGAGACTACATTCAAAGTGTTGGTAATCGCATTCGTATTAGTATTTGTGTTAGTATTAGTATTGGTATTAACAGGAACATTTTCTGTCGTAGCTTCTTCAGGCGAAGCTTTTTGAGAATTATTATTCCGGTTGTTGTCCGAGGTTTCAGACACTGGTTCTTGGGACGATTTGTCAGAAATCGGAGACAGAATATGAAGCTTAGGCGCATGGTAAGTAAGGAAACCCGATACCGGCTGGTGATGATTATGGTGATGATGGTGAAAACAATTAGTGCTGCCACTATCAGAGCTGTGAGAACTCAAGCTAGTACTGTGTCTGCTTTCTGAGCTGCTCGTTGACCTGTTGCCCTCACTGGTGCTGCTTCTCAAAGACTCCATACTGCCTCCGCTGCTACTAGTCGCCATACTTTCAGTGCTAGAGTATCCAATTCTGCGCCTAGCTTGGCGCAACTTGAATTCAATAAGTCCCAACTCTCTTTTGGGCCTTGGCAAATCACCTTCAGCTTCATGTGGCCGACCCTTGAACTCCATGATAGGTCTGCTCTCTCTAATCAAGCTCCTGGGCCGTTGTCTTTCTTCCTTCGGCCTACCTTTGAATTCCAAAATAAGTTCTTTGTCTGTCCTACAACTATTAGACTCGTTGTTATCCTGAATTAAACTCTTAGGTCGACTTTTAATCTCGATAATACAGCCTTCACTGCTCTGCGGAGATTCTTTGGCCCTCAATGACTTGACCGGCAGTCTTATATCTTTCAACCTTGGGTGATCCGGCTGTGAGGGAAGGTTCGGAGCACTACGTATATTCAACAAAAGGTGGTCTTTATTACCACGAAACTTAACAGGCAAGGGTGCAGTGGATGGAGGCGATGGAGTGTACTCGCGGGCAGGATTTCTCGGAGAAGAACTTTTCTCGTCTCCGGAATTTATTTGGAGGGATTCGATGTCTTGAGATAAACTCGACATATTGTCTGGTGGATTATGCAGCCTGTTAGGTATTGGCTTAGGTCGTAGGAGTACTACTTTGCGCCGATGTTCTTTGCTAGCAAGCTGCTGTGGCACGGTTACGTAATGGACATTTTGGTTCAGCTTGGAGGCTTCTGTAGAAGAACTAGCTCTAGATTTAACAGTGCTTAAGCTTGTTCTCATCTGGGAGTGTAGCACCGGATGATTGGTGACTCTGTCGACGTCATCCAGGTCGTCATCGGAACGATTGACCTTGCAGTCGAAGGCTGTTTCGTATAAATGCCGTTGTCTAGCCATCTCTTCGTCTTCAACTTCTTCAACATCAGCAGCTTCTTCTTCGCCGTCAGCCTCGTCTCCAGGTTTTTCAGTCTCACCGTCGTACTCGTTCTCAACCAGCACCGGCTGTTGAGGTTCTATTCGACGTGTTCGTCTTAGCTTGCGCACCTGATGTCGCGCAACTTTTACCGGCGTCTCTAACTCATCCTCGTCAGGAGACGCAACGCACAAACACACTGTTGTTGGTAAATCGTGGCTTAGAAGACGATGTGGAGGCATCAAGGTGTGGTCCCACTCTGTGATGATGCACGATGAGAGTATCTCGTTGCTTTTGGATTGAAGTGCATGCTCACTTTCGGCGGAACTTACCAAATCTTGACTCGGTTGTTGTTGGGGTTGTGGTTGCTGCGGTTGAAGATTAGATGAAAGACTAGAAGACGCGCCGTCACCGGCCACGGAGTTTCTTTTGGGAAGTGCTGGGGTTCGCGATTTTTCAGCCGGTACGTCGAGACTCACGCTCTTTCGGTATTGATTTAGCTGGGACTTTGACTGTTGGTCGAGTGTCTTAAAGAGGTCCCCGTAATAGTAAGGCGAGGGATGACGAACTGGTTGGTTAGAGTCAGTGGGAGAGTGGTCGGGAACGTGAACTAACGCAACACAATCGACTGTTACACCGTCATTGGTTTCACTCTTTTCGCGGTTTGAAGACGATTCTTTGCCTATTGTTGATGCTCGGGAATGGCTTTTGGACTTGCGACGGTGAGGTCGTCCAGTGAAGTTTTCGTTCGTAGAAGAATCTGATGCTGAAGGATCTGCAATGAAAAAAATTGAAATATTTGAAGTTAAGATGTAAATTTCTGTGATGGAATGAATTATTTATGTTTAATGTTAGTTTAGTTTTTTATTACTATCTTAAAAAAGGATTCGTTTTAGTTATAATCACATATGCAAGTAAAAATTAAAAAAAAAATGATTTCTAAACTATGAAAAAATATTTCTTGAATATTAACAAATCTTTTCCAATGCTAAAAAATCCTTCTATCAGTGTGTAAAATCTCAAAAATTCGAAATTTGAAGTTCAATAGGTCCGAAGTGGTATTGTTTAAAAATTCCATTTTGTGCCATTTGACGCAGAATTATATAGAATAATCTGCGTGATTTAAATTAAAAAAATGTATCTGGTGGTACAACTACCTATAGTTACAGCTCAATTCAAAAAAAGGGAAAATGCTTGTACAGATAGTACCGTAAAATCACTTTTTACGATAATGGCTTTGCTCTAACCTGTTTTAAAAAATCATTATTTTTTCTTTATCTTTCAATAAATGTTATAAAGTTTATATGTTATTACTTATTACTATTGTTATATTTTTGAAATTTTTATTATTACTAAATTTTAACGGAGAATATAAAAAAAAAACAGTTATTTAAAAATGATAGGCTTAAGAATAGTAAATGCCTTGGAGCTTGTGGTTATGTATACAAAAGAGCTGGAAATAATGGGGCATTATGTTCTCTCTGTAAGGACTGAGAGTATAACTTCGCCGTCTTTCCTTGTTCAATTACCGAACAGACTCCACAAACCATACATTTCTGGTTGTGACAGGTACTACACTGTTCCAGAGGTATCGTAAACTTTCCCAGAAAATTATGGGTAGCAAGAAGTGGAAAAAAAGCGAACAAAGCTCCGCCAGAAGATCAGGATGGTCAAATGGATAATAGAGTTCTAGATTATAAAAGATGATTCATATTCTTCAGACTATTACACAATTAATTTTAAATGAATGGAATTCACGCGGATAGTTACTTGAAGTGATACTTATTATTATCATTAATATTAGTATTAAGATTCCCCAAACTTATAGTTCAGTAATTATTTAATTAGCGAGAAGTTTAAATTAATTTTCTCAAAGTAGTTTATGCTAATATGATGAGAAATATACTAATTATTCTGGAATATGAAAGGAAGCCGCGTAAGTACTTCCTCTATTCACTCAATACTTTGATGCAAGCAATTAAGTTAATCGTAAATATTATAGATACAAAATATCCTGCTTATAATTAATGATTGTTTTTTAAATTAATTTATTAGGTTGAAACATATTTTGCGCGGTGAAATGGTGTTGATTTTTCAGCTTACAAAACTTTTTAAAAATACTTCAATGTAATGCTACACAGGCTGTGCATAATTTTGATGGAAATTATGCCGCACGGAACGATCTCAAATACATAAATTCAAAATTACGGAACAAGCTACTGCTGTAAAAAAAAATAAATGTTTCATAAAAAATATATGAATATTTATATCAACAGCTGCTTTATGCAAATATTACAGTTTGGTTTTGAGTTACTGAAATGTAATTTCTTTCTTTTAAATTAATCAAGAGCGGTAATATTGATTCAAGATATTATACCGACTTGTTTCAAGAATATTTACACTTCTCAAATTTCTATTATTTTCTACATTACCAAAATATATTTCAAATACGTTCCAAATAAGTGAAAGAAAAATAATTTTTTTCTTTTTCAAGTTTTGTGATATTTTGAACGAATAAACTTGTTTTTGAACCAAGAATAATAAATTTTTATAGAAATTTAAATTATTATTAATATTCAAGAGTAGTGTTTTTTGATAAAGAATTTGACTGTACTTCACGGAGAAAACAACTCTTGATTGAAGATTTCGAGAATCTCATATTTATAAAAAAATTAATTAAATAATTAAATTCATCAAAGGTACAAAAAATTGTGAAATAAAAAATGTTGATAAGATTTTATTTTCAACATCAATATATTCATTTTTCACAAATTTTGATTCCTACAATAAAAATACATGAGTGTGAAGTTAGTCAATAATCGAAACTCGCAAAAAATGGGACCTGATTCCTTATTGGTCGAAATTAAGGCGCGCGATATTTAAATTTCTGGTATTCTATAAATCATTTGTTTACAATACTTTCTGAACTCTTGAATCATTATAATCTTTTTTCAAATTCAACAATAAAATCCCGAACATTGTGTTGAATTATTATTAAAAAATATTTAATACGATACTTACGTATCTGTCAAACCGAATGCAATAGTAACATATCATTAAAACTATATAAAATTTTCATTTCAGAATTTGACGTATGCATGAAAATTAAAGCTTAATTCATGAGCTTCCACATACTTTTTACAGAAATTGAATAAGTAATTACATTTAAAAGTTATTTAAAAAAAAAAGAAGTGAAAGTGTATAACTTCGAATTTTCGAAAATTTTAAATTGCGGCTATTACTAAACTAATCGGCCGATTTTTCTCATATTTGAACTCGAATTTGATAATTGTCTAAAAAATAAATATATGCCAACTTCCATCAAGATCTACTGAGAGTTGTAGGACCTAGGCTGGACACATGCCACGTTATATCGTAGATAAATACATATATACATGTATAAATATACTTTTGAACCATATATATTTTGTGAGCTAACTCAACTTAAGTAAGAAAGTGATATTTTTGTAAAATCTACTCAAAACGAGTTTCAATTTAAAAAAATCTTAAATCAAGAACATGCTTTTAAATTGAGTAGTTTTTTTCAGTCCAATATCACAAAGAGATAGTGTAAGCATGTTTATGAGACGAAATCATAATCAATAAAATCTAGATCTTCAACGGAAAATTAGATAAGCCATTTTATCTCAAAATTATGGTTGAAATAAGACATAATGCATTAAGACTATTATCAGTAAAGTTTGAGAGAGTCTTTCATCAATCTTGATTAGAGATGAAGAATTTTAAATCAGGTTGGTTACGTGAGCTGAACGAAATTCAGTGGGCTACCGCACAGCCCAAATTTTGCCATCCCTAACAGGAAACGATTTAATTCCAAGGGTACGTGGGCCGAGGCGAAACAACCCGGCTGTCCTGACGCCTGTGCTAATCGCCGAATAGCTTGGATATTGATTACCGATAGATAATCTGATTTGGGCGATATACCCGCACTCACAGGGTGGATAGTTATATACTGACGAGCAGGATAGCTCAAGTACTCGCCCAGACCCAGAGATTCAACACACTCTCACTCCGGCGATACACCATGAGTACGCGCAACCCTCTAATGAATCTATTAGAGAACATTGAACGACATCGCTTGCTTGACAATCACTGCCGATACATGAGTCACTACTTGCTCAGATAGGAAAAATTTTATTTATTTTACGTTGAATAATTTACTCTTCGTTCTACATGAATTTTTATTTTACGGTAAACCATTTTGTTGAAATAATTATGAATGATATTATTCACTAGCAACCTGCGTCAGTCACGAATCATGAATAAATAATTTTGGCTCAATGAATTTTCGATACTTGTAATTATAATATACATAGTTTGGATAATTTTTACGTAAATTAAAAAAAATAATATTGCTATGACAGAATCAATTATTAATAATTTAATAGAAAATGTCAAGTAACAAATTAATAGAATAATCGAATTATTCAAATTCCTTCAAAAACTTGATAAAAAATACACAAAATTGTGAAAAGGTATAAATTAACGTCAAGACCTTTCTGATAATATCAAATTACTGTCACAAAATTTTCCTTATTCTATTAATTATGTAGACTAACGTTTGGCAAAAAGCGACATTCACATATTATATACTAAATATAATAAACAAATTTTATCGAGTGCAAAATTTGGATCTATTTATAAATACTCCGAAAACTTATCGAAATAAATTAACTATCACTGAAAACCATAAATAACTTTGAAAAAGCAGAAATTCAGGTCAAGACTTTTTCAATAATACTAAATTTAGATTAAAAAAGAAAAAAACTTTATTCTTTCCATTGTATAGATGATTTTTGACAGAAAAACTGGAATTTATTAGCAATAATTTGCATTAAAAATATTCAAAATTTGTAGTAAATTTCATTCCATTTAATAAATGTCACCATAAAACAATTTGATAGCTAACTTTAGGCGACCTCATATTCATATAAGAATCCAAGATAAGTAGAACGACGAAAAGTTGAGAGCAACATGAATGCTCCTTCCAAAAAGATTTTACACAAAAGGCTAAAGCTCTAAGTTCGTTTCATCCCGGTTTTTTTTATTAGATATTGTCCTCGTAACATAACTGAGGGTGGTAGTAGTAGGCTGACTATTGGATGTTAAGGGCTGTGAATGTTGAGAATTTGAGAAAAAGAACCACTTGGATAAGAATAAAAAAAATTCGGGGTTGAAGTACTCTACCTATTTCTCGGCGGGTGGGCCACCGAGGATCATTGAGACCGTTCACATCAAATGTATTGTCACATTGAGAAAAAGATTATCTTGAAAGTCTTCCGGTAGTCTAAGCGAAGCAAAAGCCAATTTCTGTTATTGCGGTACGTTATTGAACTATATATGGGCATTTTTAGATCTAATATTTTTCGTAAGAGGCGTGTCTTCTTATACTGTTTCAGAAATGTTGTATTTTATGAATTATGGCAGTATTTTTGCTATAACCTACTATCTTATTTGCTATCACTTCCACTCATTTTTCTTGTGATCATGACTGTTTCGAAATTTACTCATTTAGAAATTTTTCGGCTAATATACTTCTTGAGCAAATAAGTCGAGTTTAAAAATTTTTTAAAATTGATATTTTTTTGCGAATCAACTGATTTTGACTTTAAATAGTTATTTAAGAATTCTTATTTTATATAACAAAAATTACTATTGAATATTTTATATTGAAAATTCATTATAATGTAATAGCTCACATTTTTTATTTTTCTGTCCTGTAATGACAAAACGACGTATCTCGAGATACGCTGTTTTGTCGTTACAAAGCTAAAAAGGTTTTTTTAGTGTCACTTAATGATAGGGTATCATCAAAATTTTACTAATTTAATCAAATATGCCAATAATATTGACTAAATGTGCGTATAAAAGAAATGAAAGAAAAACGTATCTGTTTTGCTTTGGAAATTAATATAATATTTAATTCTTCGAGTTACAGCGTTTTGTCATAACAATTTTATTTATTTATCAAAATAAGCATTAGTTTCTTAAGATAAAAAAACGTATCTTGAGTTACAACGTTCTTGTCATAACAGAAATGAATTTTTCTGTTAAATTGTACTCAAATTCTGTGATAACTTTATACGCTATTTTCTCGAAACTATAATTTTCGAGATACGTCGTTTTGTCATAACAGGGCAGATTTTGTATAAGTGATTTTCTTTAAAGTTAAAAATATACTCGATATTTAATAAATTTTATTAAAAAGGGTACAATACATAGTAAAAAAATTTTCGTCAAATTTAACATAAATTTTTGTGTTACTGACTGTTTTTACACAAACTAATGTTTATTCTACATTCTAGTATGTTAAATTAACACATGAGAATGTAAAATTCTACACATTAGAGTGTAATATTCTACACAAAAATTTTTACACTTTACACAATGACGAAAAATTTTTTACTGTGTAGAATTCATCGTTATTCCCTAACAGCTTTACAATTATTAAATCAGTGATTTTTCGTGCTTTACATCTTGAAATAGTTTTATTTTAATTAATGTCTAATTAAAAAAAAAAAAATGAAGCTAGAAAAGTTATGCTAAAAATAAAATAATATTAATCATTTATTCATCATAACTTGAGTACGGTTCAATTTTTAAATTGCATACTTAAGATTGTGGTTTCATAACTTTAGGATAAGGAAGCCGTTTATCTAACACCTGGTATTTCCATAACTACGAACTAGCTGAGAAAGATTTATGCAAGAAGTTCAAAACTGTTTCAACTGTACTTGTAAGCGAACGGAGAAATGTTAGTTGATTTGTTTGGAAGAAAATTCTTTTAGTATAGTCTTTACTCAGGATCGTCTTCAGTACTTCACTTCACATAAGTAAACATGAACCCTCTGAAATAATTATTATATTTATCACTGTGAACATTGAAAATTTTTATGTTGAAGAAAAATTTAAGCAACCCAAATAGTAGATGTATGTCCTTCATCCTTAGAATCATGTTCCTCTCTGATGTTCCTCTTTGATTACAGATTGTGTACTCTTGATCTTGAGGGATTAAAGTCAGTGAGAGTGAGCAGAACAAGAAGCGTCGTCGTCGTGCCGGTAGACCCCACTGACACAAGACTTCAAACTTCCCAATGATGACAAGTGCTAAATTAAAAAGACTTAGGAGGGTTGTACTGGTTGTTTGCCCTTTGAATTTTTTTAAGTGCCAATTACTTGCAGAAAATTACTTACTTGAGTAAATTCATTTAAACCAATCTCGTTTGGTTCATAATCATACTTAATTCGTTGACTTTTATAAGTATGATTCGTTGACTTTTAGACATTCTTACTTAAATTAATTCGCCTCTACAATAACCACCACCCTTTAATTTCTTACCGTCGAAAAGGAAGTTGCATTACGACAATTATTATCTGAACTTAGGCTACATCAAGGATGCTAATTTAACTTTTTAATAGCCACGGAATTTGCTTTTAAATTTACACGCAAACGACAAAGTTTCGTCAAGTTGAGTTACTTTTTAATTTTTATTACATAAAACAGAACAGACCCGATAATAATATTATTAAATTTTGGGAATTTGTTTTTATGACTTTGTTTCGTAATTACTTTTTAGTACACTCAATTTTTATTAGCCTTTTTGACCCATTTAAGAAATTGAACTCAAGAACGACGCAGTGGTGCTTTGGAGTCAGATCTTTTAGTTTGATTGCATCAATAGAGTTTTATTTTATCTCAATATTCAGAAAAAATATAAAAAATAGATGAGATCTGAATCAGGAATCGAGAAAACTCTTCGATTACGAAATTTTTAAATTGGAAATTCGAATTTGACAATATAATCAAAACTGCAAATAATTTGATTTTTGGTAGTCGACTAATTTTTTTTATAAAATGTACAGATTACTAAGCTTATTATACATAAAATGGCAATCGACATAAATCTAACAATTTTTAGAATTTTTATAGCGATTGAAATTTTATGAAAAAAAAAAAAAAAAATTGTAAAAAAATTTTACGTGTAGAACTTTAATAAAACTATCTGTGTTAATTTTTGGAAAATTTTTTTGAATTCCCGTTATAAAAATTAATCATTTGAAAAAATAAAATGTTATTGATATTTTGAAATCAATTGGTTGATCCGTTTCAAAGGCATACAAAAAATAAAAACCACAAAAAAAATTAGTTCAAGTTTTTCTGACATAATTTCTGAATTACTTAACCAATTGATAGAAGACCTCATTAGATACAATTTTTGTAATCAAAATTCTGCTCTGAAGGCCGTGAAAAAAATCAAAATTGGACGACGCGTTCAAATGGTATTGCGGTTTAACAATTCCAAAAAATGTTATTTGAAAGAAATTCTCAGATTTTTGAATTAAAAAAAATACCCACTAGTTATCCCGCATGGAAAAATATATATGCGAAAAATATATGCAAATATATATTTTTACATATATTTTTTTTGCGCTAAATATATGTCCGCATATATGTTCACATATATGTCCGTATATATGTTCACATATATGCGTAGATATATGTTTACATATATGCGTGCATATATGTTCACATATATGTGCGCATATAAGTGTCTAGAGATACACAGAAAAAAATTTAACTTGAATCAAGAAAATAATTTTCAAAAATTTAACTTTCTTGATTTGAGTAAAAAAATTCTCAAACTTAGAAATTTATTTTTCAGTGTATGCTTACATATATGTCTACATATATGTAAGCATATATCTCTGCATATATGTCAGCATCTATGTGAAAAATATATGTTGACATATTTTTTTTTGCGTAAATATATGCGGCATATATATTATATATGCGACATATATTTTTGACATATATATTTCTCCATGCGGGTAGCCTTAAGAGTTAACTGTATTTTATATTTTTTCATAATCATTGATTTGTTATAAAAATCGTAAAAGTAATTCAATCTTGGTAATTTAAGATCTTTTTTTTCATAATTTTTCAGTTTAAAAACATGCAAACAAAATTGAGACTATAGTATCATTTATTAGAAGGTTTTCTTAATTAATATTATGGAAATAATTTCCATAATTAATTGCAAAAGCTTTTGTAGAATTATGAGATCTGTGTTTGTAACAGTGTAGAAGCGATTTCTAAAATTACAACAGTAATTCCTATGATACACTGCGGTCGATTAAAATATGAGTACATAGCAATCATTTCCCAGATGAATGATAATAATAACAAAGTTTAAGTAGTATCTTAAAGAAATTATTTCACAATTAGTAATTAAAACAATGAACAATTTGGCAATAAATTCCAATAATACCAGAGATAGTAGCAATGTCAGAGGAATGAGGATACTATATCCAGCAGGTTCATATGGAATGCATTAGGGGTTCGCATAATCACGGTCAGTATTCACGCCACGTACTTATGGGGTTTCCCTCGTTGTATGTAATCGTTTGTCTCTCACTCTATCTTTTGTTGATTCCATTAATCCCATCTCACTTAACTATTGTTTCTCTTGTTTTCCCTATACACTTATATCCTCTACATTATATTACTCGTAATTTCACTTAGTAAGTTTTATTTTCAGGTGCTCGTAAAAACCATCAATGGCTTAAAATTCGAATACTACCGGAGAATATAATTTGTTGCTCGTTAAGCCGACGAACGAGCTTCGATTGCTTTAACTGCTAATAAAATCGATGTTGTAATACTTGAGTCTCATACATATAATAGTCGGTTGTCAGTCGTCGGTCGTATAACGTTTTGGAAGGTTCTGTCAATTTTATAGGATCAGACTGGACAGTAAACGAGGGTTCTTGGATTATTCACTGCCCTATCTGTAGACACTGCTCAATTGAAATCTATAACGGTGACCGCTGAACACCAACGATACCCCTTTGTCTCTCGTCCCAACTAGAATAGGTTGTAGCCTCAGGAGGAACGTCAAAATTTGTCAAAATAAATCCCAAGAGTATTATTTTACAATGTACTCTGATTGTGGATTCACTCATTTTGTATAATGTTGTAAACACAGATATATACAGATTTATAGCTATGCACATACATAACCCAAATGACATAGTTGACTATCTTTTGATAGATTGATATTTTTGCTGATTCTTTAATGGATTTGCCCTTATTGATTTGGGAGTTTAAACTTCAAATCTTTTATCATTGATGTTATTGAAATTATCATCGTCGCCATTATTAATATCATTGTGATGATTGTTATTATTATCAATAATGCTGGAATTATGGATAAAATTGGACGTGGATTTTTTATTATAAATAAATTATTAATAAAATTGTTATTGAAGGTTGTGCCTCTATTTAATAGTAATTGAAAAGTATATACTTCTAAAGAGAAGAATTATTTCACACTAACACCCCGAGTTAAAATTTAAATCGTAGATTCAACGTATTGGACATTAAAATCGTTATTTAAACGTATCAAACGGTAAAAAGGTTAATTGAACCGATTCAAACCGATAAGGGGTGAAAATAAATAATATCAAAACTATTAAGATAACTACATACTTTAAAAAGGAGTACGAAAAAAAATGTTTTTTCAATTCTGTTAGGCAGAATTTCGGTTTTTTGGTTGAAATTCTACCATCTGTTCGATGAAAATACTTAGTCCGAATTTTTTACTTGTGAAATAGTTTCCAAAATGTTTTTTTTTTTTTAAAGGTATATGGCAGTTTAAGAAGACTACCAAGTTTTTAATTAAGAACCACTGATACTTGGAGTATCTTTGGGTACTATCACAGCTAGAAAATATGGCCTTAGAAGATCTCAAGGTCATTTTTCTTTCAAAAAGAGCCCATCAGACGTCAAATGATCAGCTAAAAAAAAAATTTTTGAGTATGTGAATAAACGATCTTTATAACTTTGGATTTTTACTATGGATATATTAGTAGATTTTATAAAAATCTAACTATTGTATTTGTCCTCATGACGTAAATTTCCATAAATTTTGCTATATTTCGACCTAACTCGACGAACTGAGTTCCTCATTAATACAAAAGGTATAAGTTGTAAGTCATTCACTTGCGTAGATCCACAAGTACACGACATATATACAGGCATATTTGTACCTCATTTAAAATAGTATGAATGAATTATTGTCACAAGACAATATTGATATTCAATGATAATTAAATTCTAAAAAGGCGATTGAAATAGATGTTCAACCAACAGCTTGGATTGATGAAGAATATGATGAAGAAACGTTGGATAGAGAAATCTGGTTTGAGGTAAGTTATTACATTTGATCAAAAAATGAAAGTGGTTTATTACCAATGTTTTAAGAACGTATTCTAGTTGAAAATTTCCTTGAAAGTTTTAAATTAATTTCAGGAATCTAAGTCATTATGAATAGAAATCTCAAAATTTTTGAAAATAAAAATGATCAAGTAGGGTAGGGCGGGGCTAGTTGATCACTTTTTGATTCGACCTTCCATAACTTTAAGATGATGTATCGGATTTAATCAAGTCATATACTGTTAGGTTCGTAATTTAGTCATCTTCAAAAGGTCTAGCGACACAAAAACGATCCGAGTCCAAATTTTTCGAGGTTATTCCCCGGAAATACGGCGCTCCAAATTGCTCAACGTGCCCGAGATCTCAATGAAACTCAACATACTTATTCTATCGACTACTAGGAAGGTCAAGTTCGAATATGAGCTTAATCAGTCAAATAGTTTAGAAATTACAGCATTTAAAAATTTTGAAAATTTGATACTTTCACTACTTCTCCCTCAAATAACTTTTGAACGCTTTGAGTTATTCGATTCCTGTAAATTGCATCTAAAAGCCCCGACATTACACTTCAATTTATGTGCTCACATTTTTTTCTAAAGCAAAAAAAATTCATCTTAGGATCATTTTTAAGAAATTTTACTCTTGCAGTCGTTTTGTCTATACAAAACTGACTGAAAAGTACTGAAGTACAATAATTCTTCTCTTTCTTTATTAAACGTTATTTATTTTTTTTTGTATTTAATCCTAATAGTTTTTAATTTTATTCATCATGAAATCTACTTCCATTTCGGCTGCCGAATGGCCTTTTTTTTTTTTAAAACAGTTGAATTTATTCTTTTTTGAAAATGTTGAATCTATATTTTTATGTCAAATACGCTAAACTGACGTTTCAAGTCAGTAGAAACATTTGATTTCTTTATACATTTTTAGCCTACATACTCGATATAAAACATGCACCTACTTTTATGCCTCTACGTACAAGGACACCCATCAAAAAATTTTTTGACATGGCCATGTATGGCCTGATATGACCCCCCTCCCCCCCCCCCCCAAGAAAAATTCTCTTATTAATATTATCATTTACGTATTAATTTTAGTATCATTGTTGATATCGATATCATTATCATAATAAATTAATGATATTATTATAGTTTGTGATTATCGTGATCACTATCAATGTCATGGTCAATATCACTACTAATTACCTGTGTCATTATTTTCAATATTGTTATTATTTTTATCATCGTTATTACGACTATTATAATCATTATTCAAAGTTAAATTTTATAACAACTTGATAACTTTTATCTTTTAATTAAATACTATTTTGTATTCATCATGGATCATGACCATGACATGAAGTGCACGTTGAAGTCAATTGAACCTTCAAGTGCTATCGAGCATATTTAATCATTTCATTACTCATTCTATCATAGAATAGCGGAAAGAAAGTCGATATTTTTGCCTGGCATCGTATCAAGCTTCCACATACACAAAATACATCATAAATGCATCCCAGAGTACAGACCAAATACACGAATGGGATCATAAATTCAAGGAGAGTAACATTGCGATTGCAAACTTCAACTCTTAAATCAACATGAAACTAAAACTGATTCCATACGTCAGCATCATTTTATGTCGAAATATCAAAAAATATCTCGAATTTACATTCAATATCTCTTGGATTTTTAACTCGGTACACTTGCATTCATTTCCGTCTACTTGAAGAAAAACTTTCTTAAGTGGAACGTCTTCGACATTATTATTTACGATTTTTTCTAGAGCGCATTATGCTAAGAAATATCATTATATTATTATTAATTCATATGTTTTCAAGATATGCTTGTGATTTTGCTCTAAAAGTACACACTTGAACGTATATTCGTTGAATAACATACTTCACTTCATATTAACCATTCGATGTTCAGTCATATGAAACTCATAGCATAAGTCAATCAATTCATGAGTGCGAGACTTATAAAAAATGAATTGAAAATCTAAAAGAAGTCTTAGTGCTAATTATCAGGTGGTGTTATGGAAATTGGTTCATTCGTTTAAAAAATAATAAAGTAACAGTCTTCATGAATCTTAAGTATTTAAAAACTTGTCATCCGATTCATTAATATTAATTGATCAAATTATTTTTTACTACCAATTCATTGAGTCTCGAGTTTTATCACCAAGGGCGCGGAATTTTAATCAAAGTTTTATATGATGGACAAAATCAATTTCATGTTATTTAAAACTTATGCTTTGTATAAAAAAAACTTTTCTTATCGAGACTGAATCAAAATTATTTTTAGCTGTTTCTTAATTGATTTAATTATCCGGACAGTCGTGTTCGAACGCTCGAACACATCGGACGTATCGATCGATCTAGCATCTATCTATACGCTACGAGTATAATCTCACTACAAAGTTAGTCTAAGTCAAGTGTAAAGTATCAACCAAAAGTGTATATATTTTCCAAAACACATCGATCCTAATAAAAGAAAATCAGTAGATCTTGGTCCCAACTAAAGGGACAAGATTAGGTAACTTTCTGACTACAGAAAGGAAACCAACCTCCAACATGACGACTCCATCAGTAGCTGGAGGTTATGCCAGTGCAGCTAGAAATGAAGTTTTCCCTACGAAAGAGTGTGCTATCATCATTGAAGCTTTGGATGGTGCAACAATCAAAGACTACATCAACGCAATTGGCAAGAGAACACCAGTTTCAAATATCAGATTTATTTCGAAAATCTCAAATGGCAGAATTTGTGCATATTTAGTATCTCAAGAAAAAGCTGAAGAATTAATCACAATACACAAGACAATTCAGGTAAATTCCACAGTGCTTACTGTCCGACCACTTATAAATAAGAATAAGAGGATTATTCTGTCAAACGTCCCGCCGATAATCCCTCACGATTACATTGTTCAAACATTAGATCACCTAAATATTAAAGTCACATCAACTATTACATTCTTACTAGCCGCTTCTAATGAACCAGGACACTCACACATAATGAGCTTCCGACGCCAAGTATATGTAGACCCAGATGACGTGTCTAAATTACCAGAAGTCATCCAAATCCCTTTCGACGATACATTATACAACATTTACACGTCACTAGACTCAATAGCTTGTTTCATTTGCCTGGGTGAAGGTCATTTAGCAAAAAACTGCCCAAAAAATCAATCAACTCACCCCCAAGAACAACAACAAGATAACAGCATAGAAACAAACCTAATCCCTACTAAGATCACTCCTGCAGTACAGAAAAAAACAAACACAGACAATAATGATAATTCGTCTCTAACAGAAATGCTAATTGATATTTCATACCCAGAAACCAACAGTAACAATAAGAGACCTCATTCAACCTCCGATGGATCAATTTCTTCAACAAACTTATCCCTCCCACCGTCGACATCATTTAAAAAGCCCAACGAATTAAAAAAGAACAAAATTAAAAAAATCGAGAACAACGAGAACCAAACACCCTTAACACAACATCCGTCTATTCTCACGCTACCCCTGGAAATCCTCAAAGAGATAGAGGCAAATCCGACGAAATATTCATGCAGTTTTTCCCAACTCCAAAACCTAATTGATAAAACCTCAGGAAGAATAGTAATTAAACCTATTATCGAAGAATTTGAAATAAGACCAATCGATCTAGTGGAACAATTGACTGTACTATACCCTCATCTCAACTCTCGCGGATGGAAATCCCGTTTTACTAAACTGAGAAATAAAATCAAATTCGAGTTCGGAATTACCACCCAGGATAATCTCACTCCTACCCAATCTGAAGACGACTCAGAACTCGAGTCCGTGAACTCAGACTCAGAAATACACGAAGCTCTAAAATAAACACTATCTTTGACCTTAATTCCTCTCCTCCCTTCCACTTACAAATATCCTATCTTCTACCTCTAAATGCACATAATCCAATGGAACTTGAACGGATTTAACAAAAGATACGAATTCCTTAAAACTTTAAAAGAAAAAACTTCTCCTGACATCATTTGCCTACAAGAAACACACCAAAAAGAGAACTACTGTAATATAATCAAAGGATATAACCATTATTTTAAAAACAGACTAACGAACCATGCAAGCGGTGGGGTAGCTACATACATATGATCCAACATTCCAACTCAACCAATTCCAATAAACAGTAGCCTCGAGGTAATAGCAGTAAAAATAAGAATGCCAAATGAAGTCATAATCTGCAACCTATATATCCCGAACAGCCACAAATTAACCTCAACAGAACTAAACAACATTACGTCACAAATAAAAGGCCCAACGATCATAATGGGTGATTTTAATAGCCACAATATCTGCTGGGGCTCAAGGCATACAGATTCCATCCGAGCCAAAATCATTGAAAACTGGATTGAAGAAAATAACTTAGTGATTTTAAACAATGGCTCTCCCACCCATTTCTGCATTAGCTCTGGCTCAGAAAGCTGTATTGACTTAAGTCTAGCAACCCCCCAACTTGCACACAACTTAACTTGGTACGCAGATGAAGATTTATATGATAGTGACCATTACCCCATCCATTTGATTTACGATGATGGATTAACTTCATACCCCACCAATAAACTGCAACGCTGGATCATGACCAAAGCGGACTGGCCCCAATACTCAAAAATTTCAGAACAAAAACTGGCCCTGATTGAAATTGATAACCCGAGACCAGTGGATGAACTCATAACAGACCTGAACCAAGCGATCAGAGAAGCTGCTGATTTATGTATCCCTAAATCCCGAACAACAAGTTTAAGAACCTTCGAATGGTGCTCCGGACACTAAAAAATCCATAGAAGACAAAAAAAGAGCATTTAAACAATTAAAAAAAAATAAATCAGACCTTTCACTGAAGATAGAATTTAAAAAACAACGAGCAATGGTTAGAAGGAACCTGAAGATGGATAGAAGGTCGTCATAGCAAAACTTTATATCTACAATGTCAAATCAAACCCCCGCTGACCAAATTTGGAAAAAGATTAAAAGAATAAACGGAAACAAAACCTCATCTATCTCGACAACACTTATTAACCCAAAAAACAACTCTTACTGTACTACACTGGAATCAAAAGCTGAACTACTAGCAGACACTTTTGCCCACAACTCTAGCGATGAGAACTTCACAGAAAAATTCCGTAACCTAAAAAAAACAAAAGAACAAGAACAACAACACTATCCGAATGTTACTCGCACTGAAGATAACCTAGTCAACGAAATTAATAATCTCTTCCATTTCGATGAACTCTTAGAAGTCATAAAAGCAAGCAAGAACTCTAGTCTGGGCCCCGATGAAATTCCCGTGATACTTATTAAAAATCTATCTGAGAACAGCCTAAAAATACTATTAAAAATCTACAACTACATTTGGAGCAATGGCGTATTCCCCAGTCTCTGGAAATGCGCAACCATTGTGCCAATTCCGAAACCTGGTAAAGACCATTCAAACCCCACAAACTACCGCCCCATATCGTTAACATGTAACCTGGGTAAACTCCTAGAAAAAATGGTGAACAAAAGACTGATTTGGTACCTGGAAAAAATCAATTGGTTCACCCCAGCACAAAATGGCTTCAGAAAATACCACTCAACGACATTACACCTAGCTCAGTTACAAAACTTCATTAGCAATGCTTTTCAACACTCCCTTCACGTAATCGCAGTCCAACTCGACCTCCAAAAGGCCTACGAAATGGTATGGAAGAAACGAATCGTAGAAAGCCTAACTGAACTCGGAATTAATAACAATTTATTACACTATATTAAAAACTTTCTAAGGGACAGAACTATACAAGTTAAAGTAGAAGAAACCCGTTCAGAATTTAGAACACTGGAAAACGGAGTCCCTCAAGGATCAGTCATAAGTGTTACGCTGTTCCTGATAGCTATCAATGATATAATCCGATGTATCTCCCCTCCCACGAAAGCACTCCTCTATGCAGACAATCTCACTGTATACTGCTCAGGCAAGAGCATTAAAAACATATGTGAACTGCTGCAAGAAACACTTAACAACTTATCAGCTTGGTGTGAAGATACAGGGTTTAGATTCGCAGAAAATAAAACTGAATACATGATATTCACAAGAAGCCACCAATACAACAAATTCCAACCCCTTCTCTCAATTAACAACACCATACTAGATCAAGTAAACTTTTTGAAAATCTTGGGAATGATATTCGATAGAACCCTCAACTGGGGGACTCATATAAATTCTCTAAGAGGATAATGCCAACAAAGAATCGGAATTCTGAAAGCCATTGGGTCTAGGAAATGGGGAGCAGATACTCAGGTCCTACTCAATTCCTATAAAGCTATCGTCAGATCAAAACTGGATTATGGATCTGTGATTTACAATTCTGCACCTAAATCCCACCTCAGGAAAATCGACTCAATACAAACGACAGCACTTCGATGGGCCCTAGGTGCATTCAGAACAAGCCCGAGACTTAGCATCCTAGCCGAAGCTCAAGAAACACCTCTAGACCTAAGAAGACTAGAATTAACATTAAACAACATCCCCAAGCTGAAGATCGTCGAACCCCACCTACTCAAAAAAGACCTAGATATCCAAATAAATCACTCGTCGTTGCCAATCCCGGTATTCAAGTATACTGAACAATACATATTAGGCGAACTCAAAGACATCGTTATCAGAAAACCCTTCATAAATCCTAAACCCCCCTGGATACCAATACATAAAAAATTCGATCTTTCGATCTACGATAACTCAAACAACAAAGCTAATACCCCCGAACCGATATACTGAAGCCTGTTTGAAGAAATGATCGATAAATACGCAAAATACAACAAAATCTACACGGATGGCTCTATCTGCAATAATATAAGAGGCTGTGCACTTATAGTAGGAGAAGAAATTTTTCGATTCAAACTACCTCAATATTTTTCGATTTTTTCTTGCGAATTATTTGCCATTGAGAAAGGACTCGATTTAATTGAGGAACAGAAAATAAAAAAGGCCATTATCTGTACTGACTCTAAATCTGCAATAGATGCACTAAAAAATCCTGCTAACCATGATGAAGACGTCCAGAGATGCCAAAGTAAACTTTCCAAAATTTCCCTCTCAATGGAAATCATCATAGCATGGATTCCAGCACACCAAGAAATCCATGGAAACGAAACAGCTGACTTAAACGCAAAACAAGCTACCACTGATGGTATAGACCTATCGACATCTCTCCCAACTTCTGTGAATGATTTGAAGAAATACATAAAAAAACACATCCAAGATGAATGGAACAAAAGATAGATTTCCAATAACTCCAAACTCCATAAGATTCGCCACAACATCTGGGATCATCAACCCCCTCTCACCTCAAGAGAATACCAATGCTTTCTTACCCAACTGAGAATTGGACACACTCTTGTCACCCATGGACACCTTCTAAACAAAACAGAACCTCAGTACTGCCAAAAATGCAACACCCAATCTACAGTAGAACATATCATCATCAAATGTCCAGAACTTGAAGATAAAAGAAGAGATCTCCACCTACCAAGAAACTTGAAAGATACCCTAACAGATCCTAAACACTCCTTTAATGCAATACAATTATTTAAAGAATATAAACTATCCAATCCAATTGATTACAATAACCTACTATAAAATGTATGTATAAAACGTATATGCATAAAATGTATATATAAAAATATATGTATAAAATGTATGTGTATAAAATATGTGTATAAAATGTATATGTTCGTTAAATTAAACAGAACAATGAACACAAAACTATGTACTAATAGTAGTCGCTAAGGACCCTAGAGGTTGACGCGACTTTAAATAAATAAATAAAAAAAAAAAAAAATTCGGAAAAATAAGCTTACTTGAATCAATATTTTATAAACTGAAAAACTTTAATCTCCTAAAAAAAAAGATTTTCTCATCGAAAATGAATCATAAGTTTTAGTGTTTGAATAAATAATTAGTTTATAACATACTAAACTAATTCTAAAAAATCGTGAAAGAGAGTGTTCTTAAACAATTTTATAAAAATGATCAATTTGCTATTTATTAATTATTACATTGTACAATTGAAAATACTTTTAATGAAATTTTCTCAAATTTTTAATTTTAATTTTAACCAGTAAATTTTTTTTTTTACATGGCCGTATATGACTTGATCTGATTATTTATAGAGATATCAGGTAATATGTGTGAGTAAGAATAATTTATTATAATTTTTCAATTCTATATTTTTTTAAAGGGTGTACATCAATTAACGTGTTGCTTTATGTGAAAATTGATATATGAGTTGATTAAACTAAAAATCAATATTAAAAAAGCTCTTTAGGAAAGTAGAAAAAAAATTTTTTTCTCTAACCCAAGGCTTCAAACTTAAATCTTTTTTAAAGAGAAGATTCAGTGGTTCTGTACCCTCTATCGGAGATTTTGAACACTATACTTCGTCGAAAAATTATAAATGCGTGTATATAGCCAGGATCAGACCTGATACGACAAATTTTTAGAACAACTCATGAACATTGAAATACTGGTGAGTACACCAGTACCGAATGTATCTGACACTTGGTGCGCGAATAAGATCACAAGATAGTAATAGGATAGGGGTGGTGGATAACAAAGAGAAATGAAAGCATGAAAAGATGACGTCTGCTACTCAGTTAACTATTCATCTTTTGAGTAAATTCAACAAACTTTCAAATAAAAGCTCTGCTGGTACTAGAGATTGTACTCCTGGCATACTAAACGTTCCACCAGAGTAAATTGTTCCTTAGTTCAAGAATCTATGAAATTTCTCAATGTCACTCAACTATACAGTGTATTATATAATATACTAACTTTTAAGTTTAACTCAAGTTATTTGAAATTTAACAGGACAAAGATAAATTATAAAATCACACAATTTTAGTTACTAAAAAAGTTGATTTATCCAGTTGCAAATAAAATTTGTAACACGTATTGTGATGATAATTAATTAGCTGGTAGAATTATTTTGAGTGACTTGAAACAGACAAGCAATTAGCTAAGCACGATGTTGAGAAATATTGTGAAAGAGCTTTGTATACAACAGTGCGTTAGTGTATACATCAGTGTATGCTGGGATTATGTGTCTAACAAAAGCAGTGAAGTCACTGTACTCTCGCCATTTCGTTTGAAACTTTCAGGACAGGGAGTGTCGACCCTAGGCATCATTGCAGGAAACGACGGCCGAACGGACAGCATGTCATTTGCATAGGACGCAACGAGCTGCCGACGATAACTGCTCGGGGAGCAGAACCAAAACGAGGTAGAAGTCACCTAGTAGCAGCACCAATATTAATTGAAATGGGGTGGTTTAGAATGAGGGAGAAACCTACTGCCACTGAAAAAGTTTAAATAGGAAAAAAGAGAAGCCTCTCACGAAACAGTGTTTCTTGTTCAGATGCACAAAAATACCTTTCATCATATGTCATGAAATAAAAGACGTTAGGTATTGTTATTTCTATGAAACAATTTTCTGATATGGCCTGATGTGTCCATATATGTTCTGGTTATTGTCTGATATGTCGATGTATAATTTTGATATGGCCAAGTTTAGATGCATAAAAATAAATCGATAATCCTCATGAAAAAGTTTTCTAATATGGCCTAATAGATCCATATATCATCATATCAGAAGATTTAATATCTCCATAAATATGATGTGATATTGTCCATACATGGTCTGATATGACAATTTACCATATCCAGCTCTATTATGCCAGATGTACTCATATATGAAAAAAAAAAAAAAAAACTGTGAAAAAATTCTAATTGTCACGTCGTGATCTAGAACCAGACTTTGAATGTTTTCATTTTTATAATTTTCCATTTAAAATTTACGATGTTTAAAATTAACATTGTAAATTTTAAATGGAAAATTATAAAAGTGACGACATTCAAAGTCTGGTCCTAGATCACGACATGACAGTTAGAATTTTTTCGACAGTTTTTTTTCCGTGCACATAGTCTAATATGATCAATTTACACATCAGACCAAATGTATTGTTGAAAATTTCCGATAGAGTGCGCATGATCGTTTCATCGTCTTTTTACAAGAAACTTAGGTGTCAAGTTATGAAATAAAAACAGTATTTATAGTTCAATAGACATTAATCAACAAACAAACGAAATTTTAAGCAATAAAACATGTTAACCGACGTATACAATTATAGAAAAAATTACAAGTTATAGTAAATTATTTGTTGCACTCTTGAGTGTAGTCTGATATGGCCACATCAGAAAATTCATGGGTTATTAATTAAAGAAACAATTTTAACAGTTAAAAGTGAATATTGTCGAGATCGATCTCTTGTTAAATAAAATAAAACGAGAAACCCATTAAATTAAGGACGGTTAGATGACAAAGAAAAGTACGGAAAATCCATAACATTACTGGTTAATAAGTCCCGAGGGCTGCTTGGTAGGAAAACCCTTGAAACTTTGCAGACCCCATGGACAGAACGATACAAGGGATGAGCTCCGAAAACTAGTGGGAAGGGAATTTAATTAAATATCACGCGACATAATATGGAAAACCGGTATACTCGAGTGGGTGTACGTTGTACGGTGTACAGAACGGTGAACGTGGTGTTACTAGCAAGCATCTCGCTACACAAAAGCTCCAGTTCAAAAAGTTCGAACGATCGAAGCGTATATGAAACCATTCTTCCGGTGGGATACTTTTTGCCGGAAGTGCTCAGAATTTTGTATAGAAGCTTTGATATCATGCCTGCGATTATTGGGTTGTCTTGCAGAGGAATTTGCTGATGATGTTAATATACTGTACATGAAAATGATGAAAAAATTACAACTTTGAAATTGGGAGTTTTTTTACTTTAAACTTTACAGCTTAAACCACTATGAGAAGTAGGAACATTTATGAGCACATACATTGAGCTAGGAAGATTAAATTATCTTTCGCAATAAGAGTCACAGTTGTTATTTATTATAGAATAATTTTCAGTAAGTACTGCAGTAAACGGTACTGCAGTCTACGTTGCACCATTTGGATTGTAATTGTAGTTGTACGATGTGTTATCCTGTATTTTATACCTGTCAGTATAGCGGACGGACAACCATTTATAATAAAATTTACAGCATATTCTTTCTGCGTCGTGGAATATTTTTTGATACAACCTATTTTCATACCAGGTCTGATATGGTTTGATCTAACCTTGAATATCATGCCTTGATTGTCAAAAGTAGTGTATTTGTTGATTAAACTTAAATCAAGAATAGAAAAGTCTTTCAGAAAAATAAAAAAATTATTTTCATTTTATAATTTAACAACTCAAACTCAAATCTCTTTCAACGAGACGATTCAGCGATCATACACCGTCTGTCGGAGATTTTTAACAATATTTTGGTTGAAAAATTATACATTAAAGGTTTTAACGCAACCAAGCAGCTTAATTCTTGAAGGTTTAAAATTTCAACCAAAAAATTAATAGTTGACTATAAATGCGTTACCGCGGAGAAAAATAATCGGGAGCATCTATCGAGTGGCAATTGGTTGACTCAACCAATTTTGTTCAGTTGATTTCATCTGTGGAAGTTACCGGAAGATCCATGGACGCTACCGAAAATATCGGTTTCAATAATAAAGAAGTACAGATTCAATATCAATTACAAATAAGCTCGTCATATTAAAAATTGATATCAAACAGAAAAAAAATAATTTGAGCCAACCGATTATTTTTTTCCGTGACGAAAACAAATTATAAAATGTAATAATAATTAATGCAATGTTTGTCCCACAAAATTGTTTTTTTTTAACTTCCCGCTAAAAAAATCGAAGATTTTCAAAAATCGGAAAGATATTGGTTTTACCCGGTTTTTTGGAAATCGAGTTTTCATTAGATAGGTTAGGTTTGACCAAACTTAGATTTTGAATACACTTTGAACCGATTCGGACCAGTAGATTTTGAGAAATCTTAACAAAACTACAAAAAAAAGTTTTTTGAAATGTGGTTTTTTGGAATTACTTTTAAATGGCTTCACCGATCAATTCCAAAATCTAATCAGCTCTTAAGATTAAAAAACCACGTCGATCACTGCAAGCCCGGTCAAAATCGGTTAATTCGTTCGTGAGTTATCGTTGTCGAAAGAAAATCGAAAAGTGTTTTTTCGGAATTACTTCGAAATTCCTGGCTCGATCAATTTAAACTTGAAGATTCTTCATGGGGCTTTAAAAACTGCGTCAAATGCCGCCAACCACGTAAAAATCGGTTCATTCATTCAAAAGTTATTGCCGTTTGAAAATTCAA